TTCTTCCTCTTTCTCTTCCCACTTCACTTCCTACCTTTCCCGGTTCTTTTCCTAGTTCCCTCCCTCTTCTCTTCCCTACCACTGTGCCAGTCTCTCACATATGTCACTTAAGGAATATGTACCTTGGGTTTGGACTCCCCAATAATTCCTCTACAGAGTTCTTTATCTCCGGTTAATTATTTTATGTTTGCTAAACTTTGTTATTGGAGTCATGTTTTAATCTTCATGTTCTGATGGGACTTTGTTATTTGTATTACTTATTATTGGAAAAATTGTTCATAGAAAACTATTGAAAAATTAAAAGAAGCTATGGCTTGTGAGGTATCGCCATTAGGATATCATCTCTCTAATAGAGTTTGTGGATTTACTGTCTCTTCTTTCTTCTGCTAAAGAGTTTTTGTATAAAGGAGATTTAAAAGATGAAAAAGCAGAAGACGATAGGCATAGACCAGTGTCTTGCAATTTTAACAATTGGTTACAATCTTTTTGCATTTATGTGAGCATAATTTCTGAAGAACACCCAGAAAAAAAGTGTTGGTCTTTTCCAGCATTTAGACATTATTTTGAAAGCCTATAAACATTTTGGAGGTTTTTGCTGGTTTCGATATGATGAGTAGTTCAGGCAAAAATTGGTGGACCATCCCGGGTTAAAATGGGGTTGTGAGGACATAGGTTTGTGGCTCAACGTTTTTCTGCCTCAATGTCAATCATTCATTAAACCATCAGCAGCAACATCCAATGTCACTAATTACAAGAAAGGTATCTGCTTTTCGTTCAATTATTCACAATGTAAATGTTCGAGGACATGTCCCTACACCATGAATGTGCCTTCTGTGCTGGTACAAACACCAGTGTATTTACAAAAAATGCACCCATGGTTGCAAATATACCACAACACAACAACTATTTGAAGGTTTCACAAAAGGTTTTTTGCTTCCCCCCTTTACTGGAGATGGTTGCGCTATAGTAGCGAATTTAAAATCAGTTCATTTATTTTCTAAATTGGTTAGAGATAAGATTTTTAAAGAAATTTAGGAGGGTAGGGTTTTAGGTCCTTTTCTGCACCCGCCATTTCCTAATTTTTCTTATTTCCCCATTGGGTATCATTCCAAAAAAAGAACCAAACTCATATAGGTTAATTCATCATTTATCTTTCCCTAAAGGAGGTTCTTTAAATGATCAAATAAGCGATGAATTATCTTCAATTCATTATTCCTCTTTTAAAGATGCGTTACGCACAGATTAGCCAGACAGGGTTCATTTTTAGCTAAGGCAGATATAAAATTGGCATTTCGACTTCTACTGATTAACCCAGTTTTGTTTAATTTATTAGGTTTTTATTTTGACAATTGTTTTTTTTTTACAAATGTCTTCCAATGGGCTGTTCTCTTTCTTGTAATTATTTTGAGGCCTTTTCGTCATTTGTAGAATGGGTGGTGCATATACAGTACATGCAGGATCACATCCTATAATTCATTATCTAAATGATTTTGTTTTTGTAGATTTTTCTTTTTCAAACGCAACAAACTGTTGGAGACATTTCTATGTGTTTGTTCGGAATTTAACATCCCTTTAGTGAAAGAAAAAACAGTTTTGCCCACCACAAGTTTAGTTTTCTTGGGTATTACAATTGATACATCAGTTATTGAATTCAGCTTACCACTGGAAAAAAGTGGACAAGTTGATATTTACCATGTTTTTAATGCACACTGTTGGACAGGACAATTCAGTTTGTTCACAAGCCGGTCGGTAAGTTGAGCTAGGAATTTTTCTCTTTTATTGTTTGACATGCATTGCTTTTCCATGTGCTCCTTACTGTGAAGGCCAGTTATAGACTGGGGCAGTGGCCATTTTTTTGTACTATCTTCCAGGATTGTCTGGTGTCAGCATAGACTATCAAAAGTGACTTACGCAGATAGCATAAGAATGAGAGAGAAGACGTTGGTGTGTTGAATAGAGGCAAGTGCACACTATTGAGGGATATGCTTTGTTCATTTGGGGGGTTTGCTACCATTTTAACATCCCCACGCAGCTGAAATTTGCCTAATGTTTCTATCCCATATGTTGGCATTCATTGCCTAAACACCTCCCCCTGCATACTCCAGTGCCTGAAAACACAAGATGGACATAGTGTATGCAGCACCCCCTAACCCCTGGAGGAAGGTGGAGTACCTGCAGAGACAAGGTGGGCTAGCATTTTCCCAGGCCATGGCTGAAAGATGGGGATATGCAACAATTGGGTACAAGTCGCCTTTTTAAGGGTTTGTCTTCTTCGCAGCAACACATGAGAGGGGTTGGGAACACAGAACACCCATTACTGACTTGCAGGCTTCATAAATTGATCTGACTACAGGCAAAAACTGGCATTTAAACTGAAACCAGCAACCTGCACCTTTCCAGAAGAAGCAGTAATCTCACCAATAGCAACAGCTTTCATAGTGATCCTCCTGAAGCTTTCCCAGGCTCTCTGCATGTTCCAAAGGATCTTCAGTGGGACAACGTCTTTCAGCGTTCCCTTTAATGCTACCACCTCCCCCTCACTCCCCCTCTCTGTTGGGGTCCCTCAAGGCTCCGTCCTCGGGCCCCTTCTCTTCTCCATATACACCTCCTCCCTTGGCCAACTCATACACTCTCACGGCTTCAACTACCACCTATATGCCGACGACACACAAATCTCTCAACCCCCCACCTCACCCCCTCAGTCTCTGCCCAAATCACACACCTACTGAGCGACATATCTGACTTTCTTAAACTGAACCTCTCCAAGACCGAGTTTCTTGTCTTCCCCCTAGCCTGGACACCACCCCCCATTGACTTCTCCATCATGTCCAACAACGCCACCATCAAACCCGCCCCACAGGCCAGAGTACTTGGTGTCATTCTGGACTCCAACCTATCCTTCCAGCCCCAAGTCCAATCTTTAACAAGCTCGTGCAGACTCCACCTCCGCAACATTGCCAAAATACGCACGTTCCTAACCCCAGAAACCACTAAACAGCTCATCCACTCCCTCATCATATTAAGACTCGACTACTGCAACTCCCTCCTCACTGGCCTGCCTCGCCACTGGCTATCCCCGCTTCAGTCGATCCCGAATACGGCAGCCAGACTCATTCACCTTTCCAACCGCTCCATCTCCGCCACCCCCCTCTGCCAATCCCTCCACTGGCTTCCGATTGCGCAACGGATCAAATTCAAAATCCTAACACTGACGTACAAAGCCGTCCACCACACTGCCCCAAACTACATCACTGACCTAATATCCAAGTACCACCCAGCATGCACACTCCGCTCCTCACAAGACCTCCTTCTCTCTAGTTCCCTGGTCTCCTCCTCCCATGCCCGCCTCCAGGACTTCTCCAGGGTGTCACCCATCCTCTGGAACTCTCTGCCCCAACCCATCAGATTATCACCTACTGTCCTCTCCTTTAGGCGCACCCTGAAAACCCATCTCTTCAGGGAAGCCTACCCCACCCCCTGCTAACTTGCCGACCTCCTCCACTCTTCCTACCACTCCATCCCCCACAGCTATCTCCTCCTGTGCCACCATCCCCTCCCTCCTAGATTGTAAGCTCGAAAGAGCAGGGCCCTCGATCCCCTCATGTTTTGCATTGTATTGTTATTGTTCTGTCACATTTTCTGTCCCCCTTTGTAATGTACAGCGCTGAGCGAACTATCGGCGCTTTATAAATACTGTATAATAATAATAATCACAGGTACTTCATCCCAGGAATCACTTCTCTTTCTAGATCCTTGTCTTCTGCGAGGCTCCCTGAGCCCAGGGCCTCAAGCAGCAGGATTATACAGGGCAGGCAGGCTTCTTCTGCTTCAAATCATTTGCACCAAGCACATGCAGATGCCTCCCTAATTGCACAACATGTACCCTCCCCAGGTCAGAGCCCAGGCGGAAGAGAAAGCTTTCAATAAATCACCTACTAGTTGGCTACAGGAAACAAAAATATTTGTAGCTCACTATAACTACACTACACTAAGCTTAGAGAGAAAACCAAAAAAAACAGATTATAAATCAGTTGGGTGGATTAACATTCACCAGGACTAGATTTAAGGCAGATAGGCTACATGTAGAACCTTCCACTTTAGGCCTGATTAAGTATAGACCCTGCATTAGTCTTGATGTCAGGACCTGAGACCGTTGGAGCATGAGGGAGAAGACGCATACAGCAATGCGGAAGAACGGAAATCTTTTCTGTGTCCCCTAGACCTAAACAAGCAATTAACCCTTGCAGTGCGGGGTAGCCTGGAGTTAGGCCTTAAACAACATTTTATAGCCCAAACTGTTTTTTTTTTAGTTTTTGATTGACTGGAAGAGGGTTAGACAACGTTTTATGGTCTCTGTCACTCTCTTTTGACCCAGTGACCTTTGTCACAGAGACAGGAAGTGATGGAAAATAAAAAATGTACAGTTGTCACCAAACAAGACTTAAGTGGAAATCTTGCAACGTGGACAACTGTTTTGGTAATGGCTCTGTAAGAGGGAACTATACTTTAATGATACTACTCTCTAGATCTCAATAAAACTCATCTCCCTGATCCCAGGAGCAGGCACGTCATTCAGCTCCTTCAGGTGTAGCAAGGTCATACATACAAAATCTTGTGAGCCACCAGTCTTCAATAATACATAAAAGTTTTATGCAAGATCTAAGCCTGGTGTGTATAAAGGTGGCCATAGACAGATCAAAATTCGACCAATTTAGCAGGCACTGACAAAATTTTAATCCATGTGAGGCCGCCAGTTGCTAAAGAGAAGTCGATCTATCGATACAAAAACACAGCTGGAAGGCTTCCTCTAGCCATCTCGATTGTATGAATAAGAGAACCTGGTACGTTTTTTTAATTCAGTCTGCTGGCTGAATGAAAAAAAAAACTGAACCATGTATGGCCAGCTTAAAGTGGTTGAAAACCCTTACATATACCCAGTGAAGTGTCCCAGTGCCTGTGTCCAGTGTCCCACTGGACACAGGCAGGGGCGGACTGACCACTCATGGGGCCCCCGAGCACAATAGGGGATCATGGGGCCCCTGTGTCCTTGCCCACACTCAAACCACACCCAAAAAAGCCTATGAAAGGTACCAGGGACATCTCATGGGGCCCCCTACTGACCCCAATGGTCAGTCCGCCCCTGGCCACAGGTCATACACAGAGATGAAAAGGATTTTTCACAGATACAAAAAGCAGGGGGTGGGGAGCTGCAGTTACACACCGCACAAGAGCTCTGAAAGCTGAGAGAAGGGACACAACCTCCTTCACACAGCAGACAGGAACAGAGCTGAGGCTATCAATCAGCTGGAGGTAGCTCCACATCACCATTTTTCTGTTGGTGTCAGGAAAACTTGTCAGAAGAGACCCAAGCAGATAGCAGAGGAACTAGACTGCAGAGATAAATTACATTTAGAGGTTTGAAGAGAGGCAAGTAAACACAATAGAAATAAGTGCTTTGTTCAGATTTCATGTCTGAGGTTTACAACAATTTTAAGAGTAGGGTCTCAGGAACATGAAGTAAAGGAAATCTCCCCAAGGGGACACAGGCAGCAATACAGTAGACTGGTAGGTTATCATCCTTCTCTACTCTCAAAAAAATAAATAAAGGTTTTGGCTACATATGCAATTAAATCTTTTTATTTTACAGGATACATGACTGGCCTAAGTAATTTTTCAAATCTTTGCTGACCTAAAAGGCACCTATAGACACGAGAGCATGGCAGGAAGATTGGAGTACCCAATGGTCATTTCAGAATTGGGCAAATACTGTGCATGTATGTTGTACTGGCCGAGCAGAATTTTTATGGCCAATGTAAACTTGGTGGGGAGAGCCTAATATCTGAGCCTGAGCAACAGATTGGTTGGCAATGACAGATCGGCATACACACAGTCATTTCCTGATCCACATGTACGAACAAAATACCTTATGGGGTTATTTTTACACTGGTAAGAAAAACCTCATGACTCATTTGAATTGTGATTACTAATATAACACTTTATACATCATCATTTCCAGGAGCACTGGCTTATTAATCCAATCTATTATACTTAAGCAGATGTCACCTATATGATTAGTATGGTGACCTACATCCTGCATGGTGACACCTGTTCTGTGGCAAGTCTAGATTTGATTCCGGCTAGCAAGCCATTAGCACAAAACAGGATGTTCCCGTAATCTGGCTTCATCAAGTTCCTTATTCAGCAGAAAACCACAGGATGAGGACATGAAAAATCTTCTAACAGCTATAGAAATAATATTCAACTGTATACATGATGTCAGCAAGTGATATACACGGGACTTTGACATAGAATATACCATAAACTGCATTTGTTACGTGCATACTGTGGGGTTATTTGTAAGAAGACCAGACCAGAAGAGATTTTCCCAGACTGCATTCCTGAGCATTGCTCTTTCAAAACCCTCCAGCCAGTCCCAGTGACTTGTGGCTCAGGTCCCTCTGATGTTGATGAATGCAGTGTATAAGTAGAATGCTCCTAATGTGGTTCTAAAGGCTCAAGGTTTTTTACCTTAATGCATTCTGTGCAATAAGGTAGAAAAGCCTTTTGAATGTAGCAGCCCCCCCTTATACTTACATGAGCCCCATCTCGATCCAGCGAGTTGGAGTCTCTCTCTCCTCATAGGCTCACACAGCAGCGGGAGCAACTGCTGTCAATCACAGCCAGTGAGCCAATGAGGAGAGAGGGGGGGTAGGGCCGAGTCACACTCTGTGTATGAATGAACACACAGAGCATGGCTTGGGAGAGATTCTGCTCAAATGCCCCCATATCAATAGGCTTGCTATTGGGGGCCCTTGGCAGGAAGGAGGAATCAGGACCTCCGACAGTTAACCCAAAAAAAAAAAAAGGATCGGGGCTGCTCTGTGCAAAACCATAACACATAGAAGGTAATAATAACATGTTTGTTGTTATTTTTTTTTAATCTTTCCTTTAGAATCACTTTAAAGTATATCTAATTCTAAGTACAAAAATGTAATATATTGCATCATATCAGTGTATCAATGTGGTGGCTACATTCATTTTCTTTTTTTTTTGTTCAGTCTGAGCGCAGACTGGCACAAATCTAGAGTCCTGGTAACTTTCTATGCACTGTACCAATATCTCAATCAATTTTATCAGCTTTTCTAGTTATCTTCTATGAACAATATGATATAACCTCCCTATAATAGATGTAGAGCTACCCCTGCAGGGGCTGCTTGATAGTGATTGTCCCCAGTGATTTCCCTGATCTTGCAAGCCTCTCGACACCTCTGACACTCTGAGTTCAGACATATTTCAACGGTATGAAATTATAATCCAAGATCTACAATTCTTTAGTAACACCTCCATAATAGGCTCGTTCAAAAGAGTAGACCACAGAATGAAGGTTTAGGAGGTAATCAGAGCTGGACAAGGTCATCCAGTGCCCAGGGCAAAAATGGCAAACTGCACTCCCCCCCCCACCCATACATGATGTGCAAGCTTAGGGTATCCTACGCCCTTCAGTCACTCTCTTGTCAGCCATGTAACAGAAGGAAGGTGCCCCCCATCCCCACAGTAAGCCATTGCCCCAGGGCAGCTGTCCCTCCTGCCCTCCCCTTGTTCCGGCCCTGGAGGTAATTCCCCAGGTAATGCATAAAAGCAAAACACTGATAAAATGGAAATAACCAAATAGCAACAATTAAGAGATTATACAGTCACAAATGGTATGTTGTATCTATGTAACTGCAATAGAAGCAGCAGGAGGGGGAAGATAAGGCTTGTTGACTTATCAGCTCCCTCTGGGCCACTGGCATCACAATAGGGAATGCAAAGAATTATGTAAATATATATACTGTATATATATATATATATATATATATATATATATATATACACACACATAGTAAATATATATAAATATATACACACTATATTATATTATGTTGCCAAAAGTATTGGGACGCCTGCCTTTACATGCACATGAATTTTAATGGAATCCCAGTCTTAGTCCGTAGGGTTCAATATTGAGTTTGCCCACCCTTTGCAGCTATAACAGCTTCAACTCTTCTGGGAAGGCTGTCCACAAGGTTTAGGAGTGTGTTTATGAGAATGTTTGACCATTTTTCTAGAAGTGCATTTGTGAGGTCAGGCACTGATGTTGGACGAGACGGTCTGGCTCGCAGTCTACACTCTAATTCATACCAAAGGTGTTCTATTGGGTTGAGGTCAGGACTCTGTTCAGGCCAGCCAAGTTTCTCTACCACGAACTCACTCATCCATGTCTTTATGGACCTTGCTTTGTGCACTGGTGTGCAGTCATGTTGGAACAGGAAGGGGCCATTCCCAAACTCTTCCTAAATTTGGAAGCATGAAATTGTCCAAAATGTCTTGGTATGCTGATGCCTTAAGAGTTCCCTTCACTGGAACTAAGGGGCCAAGCCCAAACCCTGAAAAACAACCCTGCACCATAATCCCCCCTCCACCACCAAACTTTACACTTGGCACCTGGCACGTCCAGAGAGAGAAGAATGATTCATCACTCCAGAGAACACGTCTCCAATGCTCTAGAGTCCAGTGGCGGCGTGCTTTACACCACTGTATCCTACGCTTTGCATAGCACTTGATGATGTAAGGCTTGGATGCAGCTGCATGGCCATGGAAACCCATTCCATGAAACTCTCTATGCTTTGTTGTTGTGCTAATCTGAAGGCCACACAAAGTTTGGAGGTCTTTATGTATTGACTCTGCAGACAGTTGGCGACTTCTCTGCACTGTGCGCTTTAGCAAGCACTTACCCCGCTCTGTCATTTTATGTGGCCTACCACTTTGTGGCTGAGTCGCTGTTGTTTCCAGTTGCTTCCACTTTGTTATAATACCACTAACAGTTGACAGTGGAATATTTAGTAGCAAGGACATTTCATGGATGGACTTATTGCACAGGTGGCAACCTATCACGGTACCATGCTTGAATTCACTGAGCTCTCCTGAGAGCGACCCATTCTTTCACAAATGTTTGTAGAAGCAGTCTGCATGCCTAGGTGCTTGATTTTAAACACCTGTGGCCATGGAGGTGATTGGAACAAATATATATATATATATATATATATACCAGGGGCGGACTGACCATTTGGAAACTCGGGCACTGCCCGAGGGCCCGGGGTCAGTAGGGGGCCACATGAGATGCCCCTGGTACCTTTTTTATAGGCTTTTTTGAGTTTGGGCAAGGACACAGGGGCCCCATGATCCCCTATTGCCCGGGGGCCCCACGAGTTGTCAGTCCGCCCCTGATATATACTTATTACTTGTAGTAAATTGCATGCACACTGAAACCTTTGTGTGTTTATTTATGTGCATCATGGACAAGTACTGAGAAGATACAATTCGGTTGTGCAGCCATATCCATTCAATAATTAGCTTGTAGTGCTGTAACGCCTTCTTTTGTAATAGGTAAATGTGGATGCCACCATGTCCTTCTATAATTTTAAATTGCACATAGAAATATAGTTTTTTAAAAAACATAAAATATGGTTAATAAAGCATATTGATAAGATTATTTCCACTGTACCGATTTCTTTTACATATTTATCCCAAAATGCTTAGGCTTAAATTCCATTTAAATCATTAATTATTTTTCTAGTCTAAATACATCTCCTACAGTTAGGAATGGTCTGTCAGCTTATTTATGAAGACAGCTTGATCATTTTACCTTTTTGGTCATGTCCACCACGTGGTTATTTGTGTGTACTCGTCAAGAGAGATGTTTCAGCATAGTGGCCAAATCCTGTGTAAACTCTCAGTACAAGATATGAATATAGAAATAAAGTATATTGCCCAGTAACAGGGTTTTTTCTTAATTTGTTTGTCAACTGCCATCTGGACATCAGCTGCTTCACCTTCTGTGGAATCTTCTCCTTTGCAGAATATGAAGATGGCATAGCAAAGGTTAAACAATGAGAAATATAAGACAAAGTGCTTATGGACATATGACACTGACTCAGGAATATGTTAAAAAATGCTGAAAGTTAGAGAAGCCTATACATTCATTTATAGAGTGTGGGTTTACAGTTTTCTCCATTTTATCAGTGAACTTTTGTCTGTGTTTTTTGCCTGTCAGGTTTGTCTTTCTCAAGTTTTGTCATATTTTATTGAAACTCTTCATGAGCTATTAGAAAAAAAAAAATATTTAGGTGCTGTTTGAATTTGTAATATGCATCTCTTTCTTTAAAGGTGTACAATATTGTTCTTTTTCATTTTTTTAAGATTTGTTTTCCATATTACACTATGACCAAAGTAGTATAATGTTACCATAGT